GTCGTTTGGTAAATTTTGGATCGAAATTGAAAGAAAAGGGAGAAGGAGGGACCAAATGCGTTATTATGGAATGAAGTTTATGGGGTCGGGGTATATAAACCCGTCACCCTCTAAACCCTAACCCTAATCGGATTCATTAAGCCGCCACATTCACCCTCCTTCTTCAACTCCGACCCCGCACCACCCTTATGCCTCCCTTCACCACCGACGATGCCACCACGTTGTTCCCGATCGGCGAACGACGACGACAACCACCAGAATCCGCCATTCTCCTCCTTCTTTTTCTCCATCCGCCGTCATAGAGCCTCAGCCGCCGCCACCATGTCGCTTGCCGTTTTGCCATCGAAACACCACCATCACTACGTCATCGGACGTCGTGCGTAGCCGGGGACAGACCACCGAGAGCAGTCGAATGAAGCTGCACTGGTTGGAGATTGGAGAAACCGTTGTCTTGATCATCGCCGCCACTCCGAACGGTCGCCGACAATTGTTGCCAATCGCTAGGTCCGTCGCTTGCCGCCGTGAAAGGAGGTCGTGTTCGTATCTCACAAGTCGTGTGTGTGATGTTGCATGCCTTTGTCGATCGCCACCGCCGCCCAACGGCTGTTCCTCCCACTGCCATCATCATGCACCGCCAGGTGGGTGGCTGAATTCATCCTCCGAGCAAAAAGGCGTGCGTGTGTGTGTTCTACTGTTAGTGTGTGTGGTTATCTTGGCCGGATTTCACAAGAGGGCCACCACCACCACCATGAGGTGGTAGCTAGCACCTCCGACCACCGCCTGCCACCGTCGAGCGATTGTGTGGGTGTGTGTGTTATTTTATGTGTGTGTATTTGGATATTGTTGTAAAATTGTACTGTACAACCGAATTAATCAAAGAAACAACCCGTCACCGCCGTGAGGTGGTGGTTGCCACCTCACGCCGCCATTCTGCCGCCACCAGCCGCTACCTTGGGTGGTTGTGTGCTTTTGTGTGTGTGATTGTTATTTTGGGATGCTTGTATTTTTTTAGCTAAGAATCATAACCACCACCGCGAGGTGGTGGCCGCCGCCGTTGACCGCCACTACCCGAGGTGGTAGTGGGTGGTGCCCGACTTGTTTAACCCTAATGGGCCTAATAAAGCCCTAATTGACCTAAAAGCCCAACAATGTGACTAATTGGCTAGTATTTGGGTTGGAAACCCTAATTAGGGTTTGGAAAACCCTAGTGTCATGAAGCCCTAATTTTGGGGATTGGTCGGGACCCGCACTGGAATTATTTAATAAACTTAAAATATTAATTAATAATCATTTGCAAATTAACCTAAGGCAATATTGGACTTAATGGATTAAGTCCTTAATGTGTTAAGTAAGAAACACTTAACCCTAATCGTCATTTCATGTGAAAATCCTAATTTCACTTGGGCCTTGAGTTGGGACTTTCTATTGGGCTTTGGTGATTGGGTTATTGATGGACTATCCAAGAACAAGTAAATGGACTAAAATAATTGGACGTGCTTTAGGATAAGGCCCATGTGAAGGACTTGGGCCCAATTTGGAAAATTAGGCCATAGGTGGGCCATAACTGGGCCTTGATGATTATGTGATATTGGGCCATGGGAATACCAAGAGTTTGGACTAGAATAAATGGACGGGCCTTAAGGAAAGACCATGTAGAGGTCTGGGCCCAATTTGGAAAATTGGGTCATATGTTGAGCTTTGGCCCATTACTTGACTTTTGGGCCTTTGGAGTGTGAGTTGGGCCGTGGGCTTGAATCAAGCTAGGTTGGGGGTAAAGTAGTCTTTTACCCCAAGCATGAACTTGTGATTATGTATTGGAACCCAATTATTAATTGGGTGTTGTTTGATATTGACAGTTCGGGAATCTGTCATCCAGCAGCTGGAGTTTTATCCATGGGACTTCAGCAGTGTGAGGTGAGTTATCCTCACTATATCAACAGGGTCTAAGGCACCAATGCCGGCCCTTTTCGGACTTGTATCCGGGTTATTGCATGATATGCTTATTGATTTACATCCTGGTAGTCAGGATGGTGATATGCTTAGTGACCTGGTTAGGTCGGTATCCTGGTATGTAGGATGATGCTATGTTAGTGATCGGTTAGGTCTGTATCCTGGTTATAGGATGTTGCTATGATTGATGATCTGTTAGATCGGCTTGACTGTTATACAAGCTAGCGTATGATATTTATGTGCACATGTTTGTTTGATTGGGGGTTGGGTTGAGGCGGTCCTGCTTTGTGCTGAAGACCAACATAACCAGGGCGGTCCGGATAGACTACAGGCCCAGGAGGGCATGCTAGTCAGACCGAAGGTCCGGCGAGCGGTCCGGATAGGTTGTAGGCCCTGCGAGGCGGTCCAGACGTGCCGAAGGCTCGGAGAGCGGTCCAGATAGGCTGAAGGCCTGCGAGGCGGTCCAGTCAGGCTGAAGGCTCATTATGCATGTTGTTTGCTTATATGTTATTGATATGTTTTTTGGCGTTGGTATTTTGGGGGTAACTCACTAAGCCTTCGAGCTTACATTTATCGATTATTGTTTCAGGTACTTCTGATGATCGCGGGAAGGTGAATGCGTGATCGTACAGCTCCTCATATTTTATGATTTGATTCTAGGATACTCTGACATTATACTATTTTGAAAACAAGTTTTGTAATAATCATTGGTTTGAAATGTTTTAAAAAGTTTAAATTTGACATGATTTTTATGAGTGTTACATTGCAAGTGTTTTGTATGGTATGTGTTTGTTGGATGTTATTTTATGTACACTTATATCACAAACAAAACGATGACACACAATAGCAGGGCATTTTCATTTAATAGAAAGAGGATTACAAATCCATTACATATCCATTACAAATAGATGGTTAAACATGAAAGGAAACATGATAATACATCCATTAACATAACAATAAAATTCCATTGGAATGCGAAGTCAACTTTTTCTCTGTCCGACGATGCAATGCGAGTGACTAAACCCTACTTAACACCAAATCTCGACCCATTTCTTCTTTCAGACGGGCGACTTCCATTTTGTTGTTCTGCAATTTGTACTCCACAATCACAATAAATAGTATGCAAATCACCGAAGTTGAGACGGTCACTTGAATTTATAGATATCGAATCCGATGAATGTGGTGGTGGGTTCGCCATCGTGATTCACGTGAAAGTGAGGTTTTGTCGGATTGTCGGTATCCTTTAGTGGAAAACGGGCATGAAGATTTAGGGTTTCATCGAATAAGCCATCCCTTTTATTAACCGATGGGTCCACATTGACCCTTAGGCCCCAAGCAAAGAACCGGTCAAACTCAGTGACTTGTCCGCGAGTTAACTCAGAGTTGACTTAAAGTTGACTCACTTGCTGACTTTTATTATGACGTGTGTGGTTTACTTGTTAAAACAGGTAACTGGACCACTTTAGCCGGTAAAGTAAGACTTCGTTCCTCTCAAATGCAAAGAAAAAAAAAAGACCATTTAAACCATAACTTGTAAGATGGTTGAGCTACAGTGACATTTACCTTTTTGATATTATATAGAATCCTACTATAGCATCATCCATTTAACTTTAAAATGCCATATGTATTAAAAAAGATGATACAACCTCTATCTTTCTAAATTGTCCCTGAAAATAATAAATAAATTTATTCAACTATTTCGATATATATACTCTTCTAGAAATACACCATGGCCTATTTTTTTTTGTATATACATTTACCTGTTTTACTATTTACTGCCACATGCAATGGTCTTTTAGTATTTAAGTATATCTGTTTTGATATCTATTCATTAGATGAATACATGATGACCTAATTTTTAACCTTGTACAAATGTACCTTGAAAATAATGATGGTGACCATGAGAGCAAACAAAAAATCATAGGTGCTGCTTTGAAAACATTTATGCAATTGAAGGCACTTATTAGGTGACACTATCTCTATGTCATTTATTACTCATTAGTTATGCTCTGTATCTCTATTGCTAAAATTGTGATGCAATTGAAGTAGCAATGTACTTTAATTGATTTTTTTATTATAACATCCTACTCTCATTTATTTATATTACAACATTGTACTTTGAAAATCTATCAAGATATAGCAATGTCAACCAAATACAAAACATTTTCAGTGTTACAATTGGTAGAATAGTGTTCCAATAAGAAAAAGATCGGAAAGTGTAATGTTATAATTAGATTCATGTATGAATTTGATTGTATTCATGTACGAATGCCAAAAAAATAATATATGCAAATATCATTCTTATTATTAGTATTAATCTAAGAACCTAAATCCACATATAGAACCAAATTTATATTACTTATACATAACATTATTATTATTTCCCTTTTGAACTTCAAATTCCATTTTTGGTTTAAAATCTTTCTAACCCATGAACACCTGTATTTGTTATACAACTCAAAAGATTGATCTCGTACATATGTGGCAACTTTCAAACCCATGAAGACCTGTATAAATTCCTATGCAATAAATATCCATTTTTTTAAAATAAAAACTTGCATGATAAATGGCATGTGGATTGTGCCTAACATCTCAATAAATGTCTTAAACTAGCAATTGGACATTTTATCGTTCAAATATCATGTAACAACGTCAAATAGATGAGCATAGATTATACACTTGCAACTGAAATCAAGACTAAGGGTATGTCTGGCAATGAGCTTTTGGAAGCTCTTAGCTTTTTGCTTTAAAAAAAAACCTTGAATCAAAGAAAAAAGTTTGTTTGGAAATATGAGCTTAAGAAAAAAAATTTAATCCAAAAGTTATCCAATTAGTTTTTTTGTTTTTAGCCTTTTAGCTTTCATACTTTATGTCATTTTACATCTTTCTTTGTCTTACATCTATTTTTGCCGAGCATACCCTAAATATGAGAAGGACTCAACACACGCTTGAGGAATTTGGAATTGAAATCCATTTCATTATCTTATTTGGTTAAAAAATGTGAAGAGTTCAATTCATTAGATTTTATACGAATCCTATCATTTAAACAAAACGTGCAAATTATGAATGGTTACACAACATTAATTATGGCCAACAAATGAGCTAAAAAAGTGTAAAATACATGTTGATTTATGAACAGATTGATATATAATCTATAACTATACAAGATTGCAAATTTAAAATACATGTTGATTTATGAACAAATTGAAGATTAGCAAATAAACACCAAACTTTCATTTCATACACTAGGTGACATTTCTTTCCCAGTTGACTTTCCTTTTCTCTTTGGTACTTCTTTTTGTACAACAACCTTATTTGGGATCAACACCATGAACATGTTCCTGTCTCTCAAATTTTTGCTTTCCTCAATCCCTAACTACAAAATCATTCAACTCATTTTATTATAATAATAATAAAACTTCTACTCAAAATTTATAAAAACTAAATAAACCACATATAATATAAAAGGGTACCTCCCCGATGTCATTGCGAAACCGATTCAGTAGCTCAATGGCATTATTTCTGAACTCATTTTCACGACCCTTTAAGTTCACTATAACCTTAACCTGACAAAATTAATTAATTAATTCGAAAAATCAGGAATTGTTTCTTTTTGACTTTATGTACATCATTACCCATTCAGCCACTTTATTATATGAAAAGTAGGAAATAAAATGTAAAGAAAAAAGAAAAAACCTTGTCACCATCTTTAAGAAACTTTTGAGCAGCTCTTAAACGTACAGAATAATCATGCACATCGATGTTGTAACCCATTTTAAGCTCCTTTTGATCCATGCGAAGTGCTACCAATGAACATATTTTATTCAGCATTCATTTTCTTGAAATTAAAAAAAAAAAAAAAAAAAAAAAAAAAGAATTAAAACACAAGAGAAAAGAGGAATTCTGAATTCACCAGCATTTTTCTTCTGCTGCTCTCTTTTCTTCTTTTGTTGCTCATATTTATATTTGCTGCAACATTTTGTAACTGATAATTAAGATAAATTATTAAAAAGAATTATCAGTATTATAAATGATGAGATGTGATTTACTTGTAATCCATCAATTTGACAACAGGGGGGTCTGCATCTGGAGACAATATAACCTATAAAAAAGCATATAAATATACTTAAAAGAGGGAGAGAAAAAAGAAAGAAAGGATAACATATGGTTAAGAAGGAAGCCCAAAAAAGAAACTATTACCTAACACAAGAAATTACTCCAGAAATAAGAAAAGAAAATTCTGATGGAAATACAAGTATTTGAAAAATATATGCATACAAGATCAAGTTCAGCTTCTTCAGCCATCTGAATAGCAGCAGTTTTAGATACTATACCAACCTAGAGAAAACAAGTCGATCAGTTTCACAAAAACAATTTCCTACAACTTAATATGTGCATGTAACAACAAACTCACCATATTTTGCTGATCATCTATAAGCCTCACAGTATTTGACCTATTTTCATCCAAGGAAAAAGATAACATTTCATACTGATGCAAAGTTGCAAACAGAGTGCAAAAACTTAGTCTACTTTAGACCCTATTTGGATTTGTAAGTAATCACAGATCTTTGAAATCAAATCGAAATTTTAAAGTATACAAATACTGATTGTTGATTGGGATTTGCATCCACCAAAAATTGCTATCTATGGTGAATTTTTCAACGATGAACACTTTAAGATAGAATAATGTTTGAGGTTAAGTTTGTAATACGAATATGAAGTTCCATCAAATAAGCATTTGAAAAATTAGTAGTTTTAACGTCGAAATCAATGTGTAATTTACTGTGAATGGAAGGAGAATTGACAAGGAAGGAAAATCCAATTATATCATCTAGGATCATGCGAATAAACTTCTGTATCTTTTAAACATTTATGAAATCCTGATCAGTGCTATATATTGATTGTCATGTAAAAAGAGGAACAGTACCTGATAGTGGAGACATCAAGGGCTTGATCATCGTCAGAATTAAGCTGCGGAGAACGTCTGGAGTCTTCCTGACGTGAATTAGCTCCTCCCCCGTAACGGCAGGTGATCCGGTGATTCCGGTCGCCACGGGCAACGTTTAGATTAGGGAATTCCAGGAGGAGACTAGAGAATTTTGGCAGCAGAGAACCGACAGAAATTGACTGTTTAAAAGGCGGGGCGATGGAGCTGGTAGTAACCCTAGCCATTGAATTTCTGCAATACGAAAGCTGTTGAATTAGAAGGAGGCGGTCGTCGTCGTCGTCGTGATGGTGGTTCTAGTAGTGGTCCCGATGATGATGTGGGGAATACCTTATCCATTTCAATTTGCCTTTGTGAGCTCCAGAATGGAGCCATTATAATCACGGAAAATGACTATTCTATAGCTTTTGCGTTTGTTATCGTTTGGTTATTATTATTATTTTTACTCTGTTATCATTTGGTTATTATTATTATTTTTACTCAATATACCATCGAATTTGTTGTTTGTGTTCATCATAACCCTTTTGACCGGCTTTAACATGTGATAGCCGCTCAAAGGGTTATTGTGAACACAAACAACAAGTTCGATGATATATTGAGTACGAAAAAAAGAAAATTGACCAAATGAGAACAAATGCAACAGTTGGTTACCTTCCTGATTCATTTTCCCTTTACTCATTTACAACAAATCTCACGTCATCTCCTGCTAATATTAATGACTTTATAAGATTCATTTTTGCTTCTTTTCAAAACATAACCCATGAAAGAACATTATTTATACATGTACAACTTTGATGTATTTCAAACTGTAAACATACTTTGATGTTATAAATTAATTTTCATTCTATCATCTGATGCAATGCAATGCATGATCCTATTGGCCCTTTCCCGACAAGAAGAGTGGAGACAAGTAGTTCATGACATGAGTTGCCATAATAATAATTCTCGTAAGTGTCTAGACCATTACCACACATTATATAATGTAGGAAAGTATAGGGTTTGTGGTGGAGATCTGGATACCAACTTGGATCGTGAGAACACTTTCCGAACTGAAATTTCTACCCTATGACTGGGTTACAAGAATTTCAGCCTAGGATAATTCAAGTGGACACTTACGATTCTAGGCATAGAAATCGTAAGTCAATTTGCTAGAGAGATCTGTGAGAGCTTGATGAAAACGAGACCTAAAATTCGTCACCCTCTTTTGAGAAGGAATAGTCGTTTATATATTAAACGAGATTAGGGTTTTATTAGGGTTGGACCGTCATTAGTTGCTTTGGAAGTAAGTCAGGATAATCTGGATTTAATGGGGATTTAGGGTTATCAAAACTAACGAGTTTTGTTAGTTTTACCATAATCACCCTCAAGAAATTGAATTTTCCACTATGTTTCCATATGTAAAATTCGGTGAGGTTTTGGGGCTCTGCCCCTTGGACCCCGCTAGGGGCGCTGCCCCTTTGGAAACCCCGGACCCAGGGGCGCTACCCCCGGACCCCCGACTTGTCGTCGAACCGGCTTCTAATTTGATCTTATACATGCGTGCACTCAGCACAACCCCGTACATATATTATAATACAATTTATGAAGCCCTTTAACTCACATGTTAGTTCCAGTTACTTAAAATGACATGGTAACACTAAAATCACCAACATATAATTCATAGTCTTTCATGTATGCATAAGCACACTACAAGCACTAGGGCCGGTCCTGAGGATTCAAACGCTCAGGACGAGCCGAAAAAAAGGCCCTTAGGCCCTAACGTGCAACGAATTAAATTATATAATAATTTTTTTAAACGACAATAAACTTTATAACAATAAGCATAGCAAAATCATAATTTGTAATGTCGATGTCTCACAGGTGTTATTATGATACATGTATATATCTTTTGGGTATTGTATAGTAAGTCCTATAAGGCTATGAGGCTAGTTGCACATGTAACCATATGATCCTTATATCTCAAGACTGCACTTGTTAGGAAATAAGGAATGAAGTGGTTTAAAGTTACATTATTGCCCATGATGCATTTAAGATTAGAGTAAAAGGACATCTAAAGGTATTGTATCTTTCATTATCTCAGAATAACCATACCATCTTTAAGGTATAACATATAATTATCATGATGTCAAATATATCACATCAATATTCGAAGCTACTTATGTTTTGCATGATAGCATCTTATGGTTTATGAAAACCTAACATATACAACAATACTAAGAATTATCATATGGGACCCACAAAATAAAAATTACAAATGATAAATGGTATAGACAGATGAATTCTAGATATGAATATGAGACTAACAAAAAATAATACCCTCAAATACCCTCAACTATGCATATTCTTTTCTCTAAAATCAAGATTTTATGATACTTGATAGTTCATATGTTATCAAAATAACCTTTTTCATAAAATTTATAACATTTCATCATTTAAAAACACATCAAGAATTCGAGAATTCGATATTCAATAATCCATCTTCCACCTACATATTTTGTTTCTTTTCATTCATCTTTGTTTGTAGATTCCTCAACAAAGTAACTTCAGTTTCTTGAAAAGCTACCACTTAACTTCAAAAACATGGAAATCAATGTAACCTAGTCCAACAATAGAACTACAAAAATCAGTTAACATGGAAATCAATATAACCTAGTCCAACAATAGAACTTCAAAAAAAAACATGAAAAGCTACCACTTAACTTCAAGTATTCAGTTTCTAATAATCTATAACCTCATCAGTAGAATTTCTGATAATTTGATTCATTCAATTACTGAATTTTGATCACATAAATACATTCAATTTATGATAATATGATAACATAAAGACTAGAATAATCGGTTGCCTAATAACCTGATTATCAGGAATTAGGAGTGGACGACAGACCTGGTAATCGATTGAATGATCGTTTCCCGCCTTCTCGCTGAATGACCGCTTCTCGCCTGCTTGCTTCTGTCGATTGCCTTCCTTTTCGTGTGTGGACTACTATTTGACCATCCTTTCCTTCGCATTTGGGCTTGATTAATGAATGTATATAAAAAAAATTGGGCCCCTGAAAAAAAGGGCCCCGTGCACATGCCCATGCCCATGTGGCCCTTGCTCAAAATCGGGCCTGACAAGCACCCTTTACTTTCAACACACAATTTCATACATCGTGTATACAATGTCTGATTAAATACTAGCATACAAATCTTTCGTAAAAAGACTCATTTCAAATTGTTGCTTTTCAAAATTGCATGTATACTTCAGTTTATAGAAAGTAATATGCTAGAATTAAATTTAATCTTTTGTGACATACCTCAGAATGGGTAAAAATTCATATAACCTCACCTTAGGAGTTTAAAACTAAATTAACCTTAACCATTATCTTGTCCGATATATACTTCCAAATTTGTCCAAATATCCGAAGATATACATTTGATATAATAATAATCCAAGAATGATAATGCAAACACCCTACTTTTATTTAAAACTTTTCAATTATGTGTATAGAATTGAAAGAACATAGCTCTCAACACTAACCATTGACCGTCGGCGCTGACTTCTGATCTTTGCCTCTTGAAGTATGGAGGGGTAGGGGCTAATCTTAACGACGAAGTTGAAGGCAAATGAAAGAAGATGGGTGAAGGAAGATTTGGAGTTACATATGAGGAAGGTAGACGTGGAAGGTTGGTAAGAAACAAATGCCACCTTTTATAAAAATTACAAATATTCAACAATGAATGCAACAAGATGCTTCTAGGTTAGTGGTAAATGCATACCTTGAGTTTGAATCCCACCCTTCTACTTTCTTGCCAAAAATCAGTTTTTTCAGATAAATGAAAACACACTGACATGTCATAACATGCCAACAATTTGTCTAGCATGGAGTGCCACATGACAAGTGTTACACCATAAAGTGACACAAAAAATTAGGACTTTGTTGGAGATATCTCTTCCTCCATCTTCCCCGCATGTTTGCAAAACCTTAATATTCCATTATCAAAGTTGAATAATTTCGACAATGTGGAGTCTTCTCGGTGGATCATCGTCAGACTTTCACGTGACAGATATAATAGTTTTCAATTTTCTTGCAAATTACTTATATACATTTCAATATTGCTTATACGTATATTGGTTTAGGTTAGTAGGCCTGAAAAGAAAAGAACAAGAGCAGTGGATGAAGGGAGCAACCAAAGTAAAAAATTGTCAAGGAAGTATGTGATAGTGACTTGTAGCAAGTGTAAAAATAAAGGCCATAACTCTAGAAGTTGCAAGGGACAAGGTGGACCAGGTGAGAGATAAAAAAAAGAGATAAAGATCATGAAAAAGGACAATGGGAAAGGACCAATGGTCTAAGTGTTGGCACATGATCTTTTTTTTTTAAGGAGGTAAGAAAATGTTGCTTTTTTATTGGGTTTCTTTATGTTGTTAAAGCACTTCTAGGAAATCTTTTTGTTGTAGTGCTTTTTAAACAATCAACACCATGGATGTGTTCAAAACGATTGTATGTAACTTTTATATGTGGTTTCATACGATACTAATATATATGCCTATTATGCTAACAAAAATTTCCATTCATTTTAGTGGTATATATAATGACAATTAAATGGTCAATATTGTATGTTTTTGCTTACAAAAGTACGTGTAAACGAACCATAATGTTTTTGCAAACAAAATACCATTGCACAAACAACATACACATTTCTATTACACCAAAGACATTTCTATTTCAACAAAATGAAACAAAATACATTTACAACCACCAAACTAGCATCATAACACCAACTTTGGTGATACTATATTCACAACTTCAAGCAAATAAAAACGAAAATCAAAACCCTAAGTACTTATGCATAAAAACTTGTACATTCTAGCTTCAACTACAACATGTCGAAGACCTTCTTTAGGCATGTTTCTTCCCCTCAATAGCCCATGAATGATTTCCATGGATCTAGGGCACATCAGTGGGTCAACACATCCAATGGGCACTTCAATCCAAATTTCGAACATGCCCGAACTTTTGACCTGCATCGTTGTCGGTCCACGATGTCAGAATTATTGCTCCTCGACCGAAGAAGCAAACTACCATCATTGTCTCTTTGTGTTCTTGAAAGGAACGGTTGTTCTAACCTTTGGAGAAGAAAGAGAGAGTTTGAGAAGAAAGAGCTCTGAGAAAGAGATAACGATAGGGCATATGCTTTAAATCAGTGAAATGGAACAATGCTCATTAATGTTCAATTTTACCCTCACATGCTATGCGCATGAGGGACTTTAACGACAATTTATTGACACAGTCTGATAGAGGGACCTTTTATGTAATATCAAAAAATCATATGGACCGACTTTATCCATTTTCTTGAAGCTGTAGTATATGTGTTTATTTCAAGATACCACAGGGACCATTTATGTAATTTTGTCTAAAATTTAAAAAGAACTATGTCGATCATAAAAATCAGCTAATCTTATTTCCGTCTCATCTTTCGATGGAAGCTGCCGCCAAAACTTCGGCATCATTCACCTTGTCCTGGAGACGACGGATTCTGTTTTCGGTAGTCTCTAGAGCACTTGCAGCAGTTAGCCGGAGAGATGGCACAGTGAACCGCCGTATCCTCAAATTCATAGACTTCCGGACCCCGGCGTCGTCCAAACCGATCAACGGCGTCAAGACATACGACATCGTCGTAGATTCCACTCGCAAGCTCTGGTTCCGAGTATTTGTCCCCACACAGCAGTCCATAGAAGATCTCCCGGTGATCATATTCTTTCACGGCGGTGGATTCGTCTTCCTCGCCCCCGACCAGGACATTTACGACGCTTTTTGCCGCCGGTTGTCCAGAAAACTGCCTGCAATCATTGTTTCAGTCAGCTATCGTCTTGCACCGGAGCACCGGTACCCTGATCAGCATGATGATTGCTTTGATGTGCTGAAATTTCTGGATGCTGAGGAGAATTGTTCGAAATCGTTACCGGAGAAAACGAACATTTCACGGTGCTTTGTCGCTGGAGATAGCGCTGGCGGAAACCTAGTTCATCACGTTGCTCAAAGAGCATGCGAATTCAACTTCCAACGACTTAAGGTACATCAATCCTTTGCGTAACCAGATTTCCATTTATTTAATTTTCTCCAATTAGTTATACTTACTTCAAACTATTAAACTTGATTAATATTTTTTGCATTGGGAAATCGGATACTTATCTGTTTATCCCAATCACAATTTTTTTCAGCCACAATAATTACAGACTATGGAACTAAACATTATCTTTTCCAAAATCGTTTGCCATTTATGAACTTTGGTGTCAATTTAATGCCACTACCATATGGTGATATAGCCCAATTAGAAAACCTAAATGACATAAACAACACAAAACAAATATTAAATGGTCTCTAGTGGACCACAATATTTATCAATGCCTAAAACCCAAGTTCCCATCTTGGGTCGGCTATGGATACCAAATGGGTTGATAGTAGAGATGAACCCGGATTGGGCTTAAAAAGTATCTTTTGGTCAGGGATTAGTCAAATCAGTCCAAACAACTTGTCAATCTGAAAGTTTGATGTGTGAAGGTAGAGATGTAAAAACTTGATTTTTTTCAAAACTAGATTGGTTTTGGTCAACAAAGTTAAAACTAAAGTTAAAACTGGATGGTGTCCAAACTGGATCGGATGAATCCAAACCAGCCAAGCACAAATATCCGAGTATATGCGAACCGGTTAGGATTGGTTCAAAATTGGTTTGAAAAAATCTATCTTTTTGCCACTTTTCAGTTTTTTGTTTGGGTGTCAGTATTCAACAAACCAATAACCAAAACACATGGGTTTGCCATGATGTAAGGTGTCTTTGGAGCATTCAAAATCATTTATGGGTTCAAAACGAAAATTTTCAACTTTTAATTTTTGGAAAACGTAACGGTGAAACTAATCATGGGAAACCTCGAAAACCTCATATTAATGGATGAAAACATCTTTTTAGTATATGGATATCAGTTATTTATAGGTTTGAAAACGTTTTCTAATCCCATTTTTCGAATCGGTTTCACTTAAACCAGTTCTAATGGGAAAATCGGGTATAGGATTGGATCTTAAACAGGTTTCAATAAAAGTCAGTTTTTTGTGCACCAATCCCATTCCACAAAAGAAAAAAGAAATATAATAAAAAAGAAAAAAGGAAAAAAAGGGAAAGTTTCTTAGCTATCAGCATGGGCCTTGGTTGCGCAACATAGAGATGCATATTGGCAGTTCGGACCGGTCTCTAAACGGTAACGTCTTTTTTTGGACCGACCGGTCTTTTTCCAGTCCAGTCTTTTTGGGACTCGTCTCATGGCCTTTGTGTGCATCTTTTTTGGTTCGGTTTCGGTATTTTTCAATTTTTTTTTTGTTTCGGTTTCGAATTTTTTCGTTAACAAGTGTTTAATTAATACTAAAATGATACTTTACAATTTACTAAAAAATACACTTAAAAGAAAAAAGGTAGAAGATAGTCTTAGTGAATGAAGATAAGTTTTTTTGAATCGGTTGGATTATGGGCGTATTTGATACAAAGTTTTGAAAGTTAAAAAAAAAGCTCGAAAAAAAGATTTCGTTTAGGAGCAAGAGCTTTCCGTTTTTATTTTAAACAAAAAATTTATAATCCAAAAGCTACTTCAAGTAGTTTTTGGGAGCTTTTAGCTTTTGATTTTTTTTTATAATTTTACACATTTAAAAGCTAACAACTACTTTTGCCAAACACTTTTGTACAAATAAAAATTACAGTTACCACCTATCGGGTGGTTTTGTCAAACACGTTTGGACGATGAATAGATAAATTAGTTTGTGTTGGATTGTCGATGAAGATGATATTTGTGAATGAAGATTAGTTTGTGTTGGATTGGTCTTTAATAAGAGATTAGTTTGTATTGAATTGTGAATGAAGAATCTTAGTGACCTAAACAAAACCAACATTTTATTAAAAAATATTATCGATTTTCCGCATTACAACCCAACCATTTACAAATTTGGTTACTTTATTAGAAACCTAATCCTGCCAAGTATTTTATTAAAAATGTTCGTATTTTAATCAATTTTTTATTATTAAATTTATAATGAATATAACATACTTATCTTATTTCAGTATAAATCAAATGTTTATATTTTTTTCTTAATTTTTAATTATAAAATAATATAAGTATATTGGTGACTATTTATAAAGAAAAAGGAAATGTTTTGAACGCACAGAAGATGTTCGCTGAAATGCTTCTTCATGATATCACTCCATTAACATTTTAGTTTCCTCATCACTTATATAGTCAATATGAATATAAAACTAGTTTTTCTTAGCGATTATAAGTTCTAAAATTAAACATTCAAAGGTAAATGGCATGTTAGCAATTCAACCTTTTTTTGGAGGAGAAGAGCGAACGAATTCTGAAAAAAAATTCAACGGAAAAGCTCCCCTTGCGTCATTAAAGCAAACAGACTGGTACTGGAATGCAATCATGCCGCCAGGTGAAAGTTACAATCGTGACCATCCGGTCATCAATGTTAGCGGCCCAATGGCGGTGGACATATCAAAATTAGATTTTCCGGCGACAATGGTGGTGGTTGCTGGCTTTGATTTTCTATATGATTGGCAGAAAAGGTATTGCGAGTGGCTGAAGAAGTCAGGGGTAGAAGTGTACTTGGTTGAGTACACAAATATGTTCCATGCTTTTTATGTGTTTCCGGAGTTGCCTGAATCTGAACAGCTTATGTGGGATGTGAAGGAGTTCATTCAAAATGTCTTAATGAAGGTATGACTTAATACACTTTAGAACCTATTTTACAAAATATCCTTTTTCTGGATTTAACTTCAATTTTATTTTTTTCTTGAAAAACACATTGCATTTACAAGTTTTTTCTTGGATTTAACATCAACTTTTTTATTTTTTGTCCGAAAAAATCCTCATTTTATTTTTTTCCGGAAAACCCTTAACTTTTATATTTTTATGCAAAAACACCCTCACATTTGCAAGTTTTTTCGAAAAAAAAAACTGCTAAAAGGGTTGAATCGAAAAAAATGAAAAAAAAAGCAAGGTCTTTTTCAGGAAAAAATTAAAGTCAAGTTTTAATCCAGAAAAAACACAATATATAAGGTCTTTTATAAGATTAACTCTATATTTTTTTTGGTGTGAATCATATAAAACCTAAAAATTGCACCAAATAGTGGTTTCTCCGTGGGCCTATTGTGAAATTGGTGGTTATTTGTGGAAAAGAAACAAAAAAGTGGATATTTTGTAAAATGCCTCTAAGGCTCTAAAAATTATTACTTTGTCTTTTTACTGAAAATATTATCTAGACAAAATGGGATTTATTGGGCACTACCGCACTATTAATTTATATGAAACGTGAAATGAAAATCTTACTGAAACAGGTGAATTTGAAAAAAACCGAAATGGAGAAAACGGTTGCAAAAAATGGTGAATAACGCACTTTTGTCGCTCCTGCATTATTCATTCCACAGAACAAAGGAGGCATGCTTCATGGTGTGTGGTGCGAAAGTGCCTAGCATAATAGGTTGTATGCACAACAAGTTTTCTAAAACTATATGCAATTTATCTTAAGATTGTTAATTTTTATATCTAAATATGAGTAATTTGGGTAAAATTCCATCTCATCCATGACACCATAAGTGAACTTGGAAGAAAATCAAATGTTCTATTAGAGCAAATTTCAAACATTGATTGTAAACCTAAATTTCATGTTTCGAACCATAACCAATATCAATCTTCAATCTTTAAACAAGTTGGTGGCATGCAATTTTACGAAGAGAAATGTTTCTAACCATATCCAATATCAATCTTCAATCTTTAAACAAGTTGGTGGGATGCAATTTTATGAAGAGAAAGGTGCTAACCTTTCCTTTAGATTACAAACAATCATATACAACAATTACTTATGGAAATGTTTGCTTAAGGAAATTTAATTTGTCAAAGTTATGCTGTGTAATGGAGATAACAAATTTGCACTTATCCACAATATGAAAAAAAAGGGGCGAACATTAAAAAAAAAGTGTTTCATGCTCCAAGCGTATTCACAGTGCATTGAACTTGTTAGAGTTTAATAGATTTTACATCATCATTCTAATCTTCATTCAATTTTATCATATTTTTTCTACAATGCATTGAACTCTAATGAAACATATATTTAATAATTAAAACGTTTGTTTTTTCCCCATCGAAGAGTTCAATGAACATTGAACTTCATATACATTGAATGTCAGTATGACATTTCACAATAATAATTTATTAAAGGGAAAATACCGACAATAGTCAAAAAATGGGGGGTAATTTCAAAATTTAGACATGAAAATTGACATTTCCAAGTATAGACATTCATTCCGCGGAGGTAGCTCCGCGGAGCTCCGCGGAATGGATCTTTAGAATTTTTTTTTTTTTCACATCGTTTCTTCGGGTTTTATATTAATTCCACAACTAATTATTTTCAAGAAAAAAAATTATGATAGTATGATAATCTTTGCTTGAATATAATTAGTTGGGGAATGAATATAAACCTCGAAGAATCGATGTGAAAAAAAAAATTGAAGATCCATTCCTCGGAGCTACCTCCGCGGAATGAGTTCATTCCTCGGAGGTAGCTCCGCGGAATGGATCTTAAGGGTTTTTTTTTTAATACACTCATTTATTTACGTTTTTGCCATTCCGCGGAGCTACCTCCGCGGAATCCATGTCTATATCCGGAAATCCAATTTTTTGTGTCTATTTTTTGAAAATACCCCCTCCCCCCTCCCAATTTTTTGACTATTGCCGGTATTTTCCCTTTATTAAATACCGATTAGACATGTCATTTCATTCAACTTTCACATTAAACTATACATTATAGATGGTTTAAATGGGATGATCTTTTGGAGGATTTGGATGTAAAATGAGCTGATTTTCAAAAAGATTAAGGCAAACACAACAAAACTAAGTCTAAAGGGAGTGTTGTTGAGCTGAGATTCATTGATTCACTGAGTTCCACCTAAGCCAAACAAACCTCATCCTATTTGCTGATGAAGGAGAAAAGGATAAGGAGGTGCCGAGTCCGCAATGTATCCCGGCATACCAAGGAGTGTTCTCTTTCTTGCCGAGCTCCCCATACAAACATCTCTCTCTTTGTACTTTAGAGCTATAATCTTTCCTCACTCTAAAAAGGATATTAGAAAAATTAGAAAAAGGAGGAACATATATCCATGTTCGTGCATCCAAACAAAAGGTAAAAAGCAATTGGTCAAACTCAAAGGTCAAAACTTTCGCAAATCCACTTTCAAGATCACAGGCTACCTGTTTCTTGATTATTGTTGTGCTGGTCACCAAATCTCTCCCTTCTCTTTCCCCAAATCTCACGCATTTCAATACCCACAATAAATAACCTAGGGTTCTACCCTATTCTCAAATTCAGTACAAAAATCTCTTCGAAGTCATGGGGAACACATCGTCAATGCTCACTCAATACGACATCGAAGAAGTCCAAGAACATTGCAACAACACATGTAAGCGATCACGGAGTTGAGAATCTGGAACTACGTTCTTCTGATATCGTCTAAATTGGATTATTTTTTGTTTAATTGATTGTAGTTTCGCAACAAGAGATAGTTTCCTTGTACCAAAGGTTCTGTCAGTTGGATCGTAACAGTGGTGGGTTCATCTCAGCTGACGAATTCCTTTCGGTGCCGGAATTCGCCGTCAATCCCCTCTCTCAGGTTTTTCTTGCTATGCAATTGTTAGTTCTATGCTACAGTTTTTTCATAATTGTCATGTAACTCAGCATCGTTTAAGTTTATCAATGACTCTTAACTCATATTCTTCTTCTCTCAGCGACTATTCAGGATGATTGATGGATTGAATTTCAAGGAATTTGTGTTATTTTTATCTGCATTTAGTTCTCGTGCGACCTTACAACATAAAGTAGAATGTAATTGCCTCCCCTTTTATCAATTAACACATGTATAATCATTCCCTTTTACTCTTTGAAAATGGATTTTGCTCTCTTTTTTGCAGTCATATTCAAGGTTTATGATTCTGATGGCAATGGGAAGGTTGCATTCTCTGATTTGTTAGATGTTTTAAGGGACTTAACAGGGCAATTCATTTCTGAACAACAAAGGGAGGTAAGTTTCATAACATTAAAATGCATAAACATTTTAGATCATATCATAATAATCATTATCATACAAAAAAAGAATCATAATGAAAAGAGCATAGTTATGATAAGAATGCCATATAGAGAAAAGGGTAAATTGAGGAAAAGAGCACAACCTTGTTTTCTTGTTCTTGTTCTTTCCTTTTAGCAAAATCTGTCACATATCTCTGACTAAGTTTAACAGAAAATTCCAAAACTGTCAATTTAATCTTTGTTTTTGTTCCTTGATGCCTTTGTAAATCTTCATTAGGATTCAAATCAATGACTGAAAGTGGTTTAGAGCTAGAGGTAGATAAAGACTACAAAGGCAAAAATCAATATACTTTAAAGGTCAAATTATTTTTCAAAACTTAATTGAATGTTTGATAAGATCATTAAATAACAACATATTCTGATTTGTCTCACTTAACTCGTTTGGTAAAAAAAATAGTCATCTGATCAATATTTTGGTTTTCTATAACAGGATTTAACCATTTACAAAGTAACAAAATACAACAATAATCTCTATAAATTTGATACATAATATACTTTGCAAATGGTTTACTATTGTTGTATACATATTTCTATACTATTAGTTTGTATTTTTGGTACTTATAAAAGAATCTGTTAAGGGGTACTATGGAACTTGCTACATTTTTCTTTTTCAACAGAAACTTTTTGGCGTTTACATGATTTTAATTTGTTTCTTAAACTAAACTGATAAATAATCTTTATATAAATTCTGTTTCTACAGATTGTCCTGACACATGTTCTTGAGGAAGCAGGGTATAAAAAAGATTCTTTATTAGTTCAATCCGACTTCATGAAGGTAGTTATGAATTTCTATTTTCTATCTTCTCTAACTTAATGAAAAATTACAATTTTTTACTCCCTATATTCCTCAATCACAGCTGACTTTGTCATATATTGCATTTACTGATCATAATCTTTAAGTTTTCCATATGCATTTAATGGATTGTTTGTTTGATACTTGATAATAAAGATTTTATAATTGGTAATTGCAGATTCTTGGAAACTCGGGGTTGAAGATGGAAGTTGAGGTTCCTGTTGACTAGTTTGAGATTTAGTTTTTACAAAAATCAGGTGTTTAGATACTTGTATCATGTAGTGTAAACTACTAATGTTTTTTACCTTTTAGTTACCCGTTGTTTGAATCTGAATTTGATCTTGTTTATGTCTTCCAAGAGTGTTAGAATTTGTATTTTGCATCACTTTAGTATCTCTTGAATTACCTTAAACTTGCAAGTATTGTGTTTTTGACATTTCAAATTTAGGGATGTATTGTTTTAATAAGTGTTTAGTGCACATGAGAAAAAAAAAGTAGTTTAAGAGTATACGTATATCTTGCCTTTGCAATTTTTTGTTGATTATATATTTGATTGAAAATATGACGCTTTATTTAATATGAGGTCGTTGCAATTCCGTATGCCTTTTGGAACATGCAAGAAGGTAGGGATGTATTGTTTCAATTTGTAACTATAGAAAATAATTGAAAAGTTGATAAATTTTGCTCAAGTGATTTCATGCTAAAGTTGACTATTCTATCATTAAGGCATCATGGAAAAACATATGAAAGGGAAGGCTTGTATCTCTTGCAAATTTTAGAATGAATGTATCATATACGCTTTGAGTAAAAATCTATAACCAACTTAACGGAATTCTGGTATACGTGTTTTGTGAAAGTTGTGATTGCATCTAGACAATAATGGAAGTTGAGATGTCGTTTAAACAAACATCTTCTTTTCTGTTTATCATATTAATTAAAACAATTAATTGATTTGACAAATAGTGGTAAGCCAATTTCTATGCTACAAGTGTCAAGAGGAATTGCGCGTGCTAGACCCTTGCTGTCTACCCAAAAGCTCTTGCCACTTTTAGGCTGCGTTTGGCACGTCACAGCTAGCTGATAAGCTAGCTTATTTTTCGAGCTTTTTTGTGTTGTCGTGTTTGGTAAGCCAAAAAGTAGCTTATAAGCTAGCTTTTTGAAAAGCTACTTAGACTAGCTTTTTAGGAGCTTTTTTAAAATTTTCCAAATACACCCCTTAATTAATTATAGAAACACATATTATTACATGTCCTTTTATGTAATTTTATATATTTCAGCTAGCTTTTCAGCTAGTTTTACCAAACGTTATTTTTTATCAGCTAGCTTTTCAGTTATCAACTAGTTTTTTATTTAACAACTAGTTTTTCAGCTAGTACGCCAAACATAGCCTTAATGAGTAAACCACAAATACCTTTCATGGATTATTTCAAAATTATTGGTTTTACATTTCTAATCCAAACCTAATGAATTTACTTTTGTTTTGTTTGGGCATTTTGGTATTTTCTGTTGGTGATTTTAGTATCATCAGGACATTTTATGTAATTGGAACTTACATGTGAGCTAAGAGGCTTCATAATTTGCACTCTAATACATGTTTCAATATGTGCGGAGTGCACACATGTATAAGATCAAATTAGAAGTCAGTTCGACGACAAGTCGGGGGTCCGGGGTTTCCAAAGGGGCGTCTAGGGGCAGCGCCCCTAACGGGGTCCAAGGGGCTCTTCCAATGGGCAGAACCCCTAGCTAGTAAAACTGACTAAGATCGTCATTTTTGAAAACCATTGATTTCCTCATTAATTTTGTATTCCCTTGACTTGTTTTCAAAGGAACCCATGACGGCCAACCCTAAAACGAAACCCTACATATCGTTTTCTATATAAAAGACTCCTTTTTAGGAGAATATATCACATTTTAGCTCTCTTTTTTCTTCATACGAACTCATAATTCTTTAGAAATTTGGCTTACGTTTTCTGTGCCTAGATTCGTAAGTGTCCCCTTGGGATTATCCTAGGTGAATTTCTTGTAACCCGGACATAAGGTAGAAATATCAGTTTGGAAAGTGTTTACACGATCCAAGGGATATCCAAATCTCCACTATAAACCCTACCTAATTTCTAACATTTTCTAATTTCATCATTTACCAAAACGGGTTAATGTTATAAAGCTACGAGGAGTGGGTACTATATCCTTACACCTAATCTCAGCGCCACATAATTTTCATCGTCACACCACAAACCTTACAAATACCCGCTACTCCACATCATCTATATCAAGAATGGAAATACCTAATTTGGCTGGGTGTTACACTTTAACTATATTTCATCCTCAAGTTAGGTCAAAAATGGAGGAAATGAGACCCAAAACTCCATGCATAACATCAAGACTCTATAAAACTTTAGATCTGGAACATATATTTACAAGGAGGGCCAAGGATCCATAAAGTTGCCAAGTTTATGGAATCCAACCATTGAAACTATACTAAACTTGAAGAAAAATGCAAAGAAACCTAGATCTAGAAGCATGAAGCATAAAGGTTGGAACTTGAAGTCTTACAATGGTCCAGAAGATATACTAGGAAGTGGAAGAGGAGCTTGATTGCTACATCTTCACTCAATTGTTTCTTTCTTCTTCCTCTTCACATCAAAAATCACCACAAAACCTCAAAAACTCAACAATGGTGGCTATGGATGCTTCTAGGTCAAAAAGGTAGTGATGCATCCTTTGCAACGTCGTGGTCATCACAAAGTCCTTTATTAAGACTTAAATTGCCAAAAATTAAAGATGATATTTACGTGGAACTCAGCGTTACAAGTCTCCCCCACTTGAACTAGATTTCGTCCTTGAAATCTTTAGCTGCAAACAGATATGGGTAGAGCTCGTACATCTCTGTCTCGGTCTCCCAAGTCCACTTTGAGCCCTTCTAGTGTTGCCACTGCACCTTGACCAAAGGCACCACCTTTTTGCACAAGGTCTTTGTCTTCCTATCAAGAATCATCACTGGTCTCTCCACATAGTTCATGCGCTCGTCAACTTGGATGCCATCCAATGGAACCACCGTTGAATCATCCACCAAACACGTACGAAGCTGAGACACATAGAAGGTATTATGAATCTGGCTTAGTTCCTCAAACAGATCTAATCGGTAGGCCACCTTGCCCACCCTAGATACCACTCAAAAGGCCCGATGAACCGAGGGCCCAAATTGCCCCACTTCCTGAAGCGAATAACACCCTTCCAGGGTGATACCTTCAGCAGAACCATATCTCCTACCTGAAACTCCAGCTCGGACCATTTCCTGTCAACATAACTCTTATGTCAGCTTTGTGATGTCTGTAACCTTTGCCTGATCTGTTGGATAAGCTCTGTCATCTATAGTATAACCTCGGTGCTCCCCATGACCCTATGGTCGATCTCTCCCCAATAAAATGGAGTCTGAAACTTCCACCCATAAAGGAGGTCATACAGAAGTGTACTGATGTTGGAATGATAGTTGTTGTTCTATGAAAACTTACCTAAAGGAAGGAAAGAGTCCTATCTCCCATCAAAATCAATAACGCAATCCCTCAACATATCCTCGAGTGTCTAGATAGTTCGCTCACTCTGTCCATCTGTTTGCGGGTGGTAAGTAGTGTTGAAGTGCAATCTAGTTCCCAACTCTTCATGGAAACTCTTCCAAAACCTGGAAGTGAAGCGGACTTTTGATCCGATATAATGGAAATTGGCACACCGTGGCGAGCAACGATCTCTCACATATAAACATCAACCAATTTCTCGACCGAAGAAATTTCCCAAATAACAAGTAAATTGGCGCTCTTGGTCAGGCGGTCAACAATTACCCAATTGGTGTCAAATCTGTAACACCCATAAAATTTGAGCCAATTTAAAACATTTTAAATCATTCAAAAACCATTACGTTCATACAATTCATTTTCAAAATAGTTTAAACATCAGAGTATCCCCCAGAACCATATCATATAAATCATAAAACATGAGGAGCGGTACGATCACGCCTTCGCCTTGCCACGATCTCCTGAAGTACCTGAAACAATACACTAAAACTGTAAGCCCGAAAGCTTAGTGAGTTATCCCCAAAATACCAACCACACATAAACATACTCATAAAATATCACAATACAGAACATCCATGCACATCGGGTCTACTGTGTGACTGGTCCGCCCGCACCGGGACTTCAGTCCACCTGGTCCACCCTCCGAGTCTAGCCATGTACGTCGAGTCTACAGTGTGATTGGTCCGCCCGCACTGGGCCTTCAATCCACCTGGTCCACTCTCTGAGTCTACAGTATGACTGGTCCGCCCGCACCGGGCCTTCAGTCGGCCTGGTCCACTCTCCGAGCCTCGGCACGTCTGGTCCGCCCTCTTGGGGCCTTCAGCCTATCCGGACCGCTCGCTGGGCCTTCGGAATATCCGGTCCGCCCTGGGTATGTTGGCCTTCAGCACAAAGCAGGACCCGCCTCAACCCAACCCCCGTCAAACAACCATGTGCACATAAAACAATCAATCACATAACAAATCCTTAACCAGACTATCAGTCTAACAGATCACATAGCATATCAACATCCTAACCAGGATTCCGACCTAACCGGTCACTAGCATAACATTACCCTATATACCGGGTACCAACCTTAACCAGGTCACTAATATAACACCATCCTAAATACCATGATGCAGATCTAGCAAAGCAATAACATAACAAACACTACCCGGATTTCCATCCGATAAAGGGCCGACCTTGGTGCCGCAGACCCTGTCGATATAGTGAGGATAACTCGCCTGCAATTGCCGACTCGGAAGATAAAACCCAACTCTCGAATCACTTGGCACAGGCTGCACCACCTAACATCAAAGCGCAATATACTCATAAGTCCTTAACCATATAAGGTACTCCATAACCCACTAGTCAACCCCTGGTCAAAGTCAAAGTCCTCAGTCAAGGTCAACAGTCCATATTGACCCCAACTCGCCGAGTACCCTCGGCTACTCGTCGAGTTCCTTGAAGCACAATCCAACTCGCCGAGTCATCGGGGTGACTCGTCGAGTTGCTTTGATTCTCGTTCAAACTTTAAGGTCACCCGTCGAGTTCCCTCCTTGCAACTCGACGGATACATACGCATACATATCCTAGGGAAAACTCATCCGACTCGCCGAGTTGTTCTTCAATTCGCCGAGTCTTATGGTAATCTTCATCGGACTCGCCGAGTTGTTCATCCAACTCGTCGAGTCCACGGCCATCTTCATGTGACTCGCCGAGTCAACCCTTGCGACTCGCCGAGTCCATTCAGTCCCTTTTTCATACAGACTTGTTTTGAGCCATGCAGCGGCTCCAAATCACAGATCCAAGCTTGTAGGGCATGCTTATCACGTAAAGTTGCAAACTTTACGTGCATGTATGGCTATAAAGGCTCTAAATGCCTATTTT